GTCAAAATTTCAGACAGCCTAGACAATGAAAGGAGACATTCTTAAATTAAAGATGTGTATCAAACAGAAATATTCAAAAAAGTGAAATGGCAATTAGGCCTCAGTGATGGGATACTCGAAGACTACATCTTTTCCGGAAAGCTTCCTGTAGACACCAGAGTAAGTTTCTAACTTGTATTCTGTGTCATTCCTGAACTTCGGATCCAATAAAGATAAATAAATATAAGATAACAATAACACAAGAATATAAGAAAGATAAAAGATAAAAAAAGCATATAAAAAAGCTAGAATATAAAAATAACATAAGAATATACAAAGATAAAGAAGATAAACGATAAAAGAAAAAAGAGAGGAAAGGTAGAAAAGACATCAGTCCTCCACTTTGCTCTCTCCAAAGCCATACTCTCATCCAACCCAAGAAGATGCATATTAGTTATGATTCCTCTAATCCAAGTTTGTTTGGGTCTTCCCCTCCCTCTCTTCTCTGCCTTTTCTCCCCACCTCTCAAGTCGTCTAACAGGTGCATCACTCGGTCTTCTACGCACATGCCAAAAATACCGCAAACGAGACTCCTGCATCTTATGTTCTATAGGTGCTACTCGGACCTTTTGTCTGATTATCTCATTTCTCAAACGGTCTTTTCTGGTATGTCCACACATCCAACGCAACATACGCATCTCTGAACAGAGATAGTTAATTAGTCATTGTGGGATATATAGCTGATAACTTTACCCAATGTATTTTCACTACGAAATACCATTTTACCAAACTCAATATATCTATGAGATAGGGGAAAACGTTTTTTATAAGGATAATTACTAAACACATCTTGCCATGTAATTTTATCTGATGATCCTATTTTTCTTTCTGTCTCGCTGTAAATTGGTTTTACTCGCCTTCTTTCCTATGTGTTTTTTAACAATGAAAAAATTTAATGGTTTATATTACGTATATGTTACTGAGTTTTGCAATTTTTATGTTTTAATTCATTAGTCGTATGCGAGTTTTTAAATTGATCACATGTCATGAATCCAATTAAAGGGGAACAACGGTTAAGGTCTTGCCTTGTGACTGAGAGGTCACGACTCAAGTCTTTGGAGCAGTCTCTTGTCAAAAATTTGACAGGGAAAGGCTTCCTTTTATGCACCCTTGTGGTGGGACCTTCCCCGAACCCTCATTTTGTGAGGATGCCTTCATTCATCGGTCTTCCCTTTTATGTCACTAATCCAATGAAGGTGTAAAAATGTAAATTTGACATAGTAATGTGAGGGTATTAATTTGCAAAGTTTATGGTCATGTAGATTCAAATTGAGATAGTAGCCGGTAGGTTCAATGTGAAGCTATTACTCTCTATATTGCGATTACATTGGTTCAGTTGAGGTATTAGGCACTATGTTTGCCACTTCATAGTCAGCTACCTGTATGTACTCTATTTCCATTTCACAGTCAGCAGTCTGTAGGTAGGTTCAACATCAATATGAGTATGATGGTCGTGGAATTCACATGATGGTAGGGTGTTAATCCTATATTTTACATCATTTTTTGGTAAAATTTTGAGAACTTTTAGTTTAAATGCTTGTCAAGAAAAGTTTGGTGATTTATCTATTTACTAGTTTTTTGCTCATAAAGATACATATGTAGAGCTGTTTGTCAACCCCTACTGTTACACAAAAAATAATGTCAAAGTAATTTGAACACCCAAAATTCAATTGCTAGATCCTCAAGTTCTTGCCATAGTTTGGATTGTTCTCATCAACTTTTTCTATTTATCAAATCTGAAAATGATGTTGATCCATTTTTTATTCTCTGTATCATATCCTCAGAATCTGTATCATACTTGCATAGTCAACCACTTATAGAGAACGAAGAAAGAACTATGATTTCCCCATGTATTTGTGCTTCCAATCCCTTTTACCAAATGCATTTTGTGAAACATTACTCCCACGCCTCACCTCCAACATCATTCTCGGGTTGGAAGCCGAATTGCCTCTACCCCTTTATTACATGCAGTATTAAACGTGAGAAGGGTGTGCAAAGAGGGGTTAAGACTAGGGAGAATGTGAAACTGAAACAGAAGGGCAAGGCAAGGATAATGTGTCGAGTATTGACAACAAAGTCGCAAATTCTGAGAATGAGAAGTTGGCCAGAAAGAAGAAGAGAGGAAAAGATAGGGGAATGATGAGGAACGTTTCGGAAAAGAGTGGATATGGACGAATCATGATCTCCAGTGCTATGTTAATTGAGACTAAAACAGTGTTACAAACTCAGGTAGTTTGCTCTAAATGCAGGTACCATTGTAGTATTTGTTTGTGTTTGTGTTGCTTCTTAAGTGATATATTAATGGTTTATAGTGTATATAGTTAGTTATCGTTTCATTGTTTCATGGAAGCACAACATGTTGTTTTGACTTGTTATAATTTTAATTGATAGCATATTTCTTAGGATGCTTTCACTTGTTCCTGCTAGGCTATTATATGTGTTCTTCTCTTTCACAACAATAAATATTGTTGATTAGAACAGATGCATTAGTATATACGTAACAAAATGTAGAAAGGGACTGTGATAATCTATTTATATTTGTAGTTCAAAATGAGCTCAACTAATAAAGAATGATCTCAAATCAGCTCTATGACTAAATGTATATGTGTCCATATTATTATTTGTTGAACAATGATGTTGAACATATTTATGAACTTTAAATGTTAAATCATGATCTTTATAACTTTAAATGTATATTTTAATATAAAGTTGACCAAATCTAAGATCATCTTCATTCATGCTCCTCAAATTTATGGTTTTTTATGATTTGTTTTTGTCACTCACTTCCACTGCACATAAGAAAATCTTGAATAATCTCCAAACCAGTTAACTGTTCTCAATTGTGATCTTTATTTATCCAAATTTTCTATGAGACATACACTCAAATTCAAAAACTCTTACTTTATTGGACACATAATCAAATGGACTCGCACACTATTATATACTAGTATAGGACCCGTGCGATGCACGGTGTATGAGTTTGTTGCATGGGTATCATTAACGTTAGGCATTAAAGTCTAATTGGAAATAAAGTTAAATATCATAAATTGTGACGATAAAGAAATGAAATAGTAATATGTAAGTTACAGTAATATGTAATGTGATTTTAATACAATATGAAATATTACAGATTATGGAACAGTTCTTTATAGACAACATTCACGGTTTCATCTATCTCACAATCATCTTCGTATCAGATGAGGATTTTGAGACCTGCATGATTGGTAACTCTTGACACAACAATATAGAATTGTCCATGGCTGAAAACCAGCTTTTTCAATAAGAGACCGACGTGAGTGAGGGGTTGACCTTGACTTTTATTAATGGTCATTTCAAAAGAAACCATAATAGGAAATTGCCTCCTTTGAAATCTAAATGGCAGCCTAACATCTGACGATGTCAAAGATAACCGCAGTATTAAGACTTTCTGACCTGCACTCATATCATTGAGGACCCTTCCCTCTAAGATGTGATTACACATTTTTGTTATGATGAGTCTTGTCCCATTACACAAACCCAATGAGTGATCAATAATACGTAGAAGCATGATTGGGGTACCGACTTTCAAAGTTAACTTATGATTTGGCACACCAGAGAATTTAATACTATTCAAGAATTCTGTAGTGTGCAACTCTGTAATAAGATCATGTGTTGAATCAGATTTGCAAACACTATCTGAACTAAGATATGTTCTAGCAACTTCCTTCGAATTAAAACTTGTCATGTAGTCGTTGATTGAATCAACGACATCAAGGGTCGGAGCAAGAATTGCTCTCTCTCTCTCTCAAGTAACTCAAATCTGTACTTGATTTTAGATAATCAGGATAAATGACCTCCACTATATTAGCAATTGGATCCCCGATGTACTTGATAAGGATGTTGATGGAGTATATGGGTCCAGACCCCATGACCCACATACTCAGAAGATTAAAAGGAGCACAACTGTCATCCAGTGGGCCCTCCGTCGGCCAGATGGCACCCCATCGGCCAAAGAAGAGTCAATCCAAAATACGATCCAGAAGCCAAGGAGAAGACTTGTCCTCCGTCGGCCAGTGCCTCCATCGGCTAGACAGATCCCACAGGAACAGTTTCTATACTTAGTCAAATTCTTGTATCCAGCCCATTAGAGGCCTTATATTGTAATGGGCCTCCCAAGCCCAAGGCTTGGGAACCCGGCCCATATTTTCCCTATAAATACTCCCTATGGGAGCCATGTAAAGGGTTGGAAATTCATTTATACATATCACTTTATCTCTCTAGCTCTCCCTTCTCTCTAAGAGATAATTAATCTATCAGATGTCATCGAGTATTTTAATAGAGACACAACCATCGTTTAAATCCTCAGCTATACCATCACCTATGTTTGCAATCCAATCAGTAAAAACCTTCAAATCATAAGATTCTGCAGGACAATTGACATTTTGGAGTCTCATGTTCTTAGTTAATCTAAGAACTGGGGGTGGGCAAAACAGTTCGGGTGAACCGACCCGAACCGAACCAAAATTTCAGGGTTTGGTTTGGTTTCGGTTATCCAAAGCAACCCGTTTTGTACATTTATTCACAACCCGAATGGATCGGTTTGGGTCGGTTTTAAACCGATATATCATTTCAACCGAACGGTTTTTAGCATAAATGAAAAGGATATTTTAGGCCCAGCCGCCCAGCGTAGATATGCAGAATTGCAGACCTAACTCCAAACATAATCGCCAACGCCAAGAATCCTTCCGCAACCATGGGCGATCTTACTCTTTCGTCGATCCCGACCTCTATGGATCTATCTCTCGAATAGTCGAATCCCTTTGCCCTAATTTGTGATAGTCCGAACTCCAAAATACTCCACAATTTAGTGTATCCCCAATTTCTTAAGTCAACACTATACTCACACTTCGGTTTATTTCTTTCCAATAGATATGAATCAACTACACGATTCTCATTTTCTACGATTTCTTTTTCAATTTTGAAATGCAGATAAGGCTTTACTCAAGATCATCGAAGAAGAGTTCTCTGGTCCTCCCTTTGATGTAAACTCCTCCACCTCCCTTTCTCTTTTGAGTTATTCTTTTACAGATTTCAATATCTTTATTTTCACTTGCAAGTGGTTATTAAGTTGATTGTTGGTTTAGTATTGTGCATGTGGGCTGCCCTCATAGTTCCCAGGAAGTTTTTATCTATTATGTAGATAGCAGATTCCTCCTCTTGTGAAGACAATGCTAACATAGTTGATTTTGACCTCACAGTTGAACCAATGGAGGCGGACACTTCTGTTGCACAAAAGAGGAAGCAACCATCAGCCTCAAATGTGGGTGCTTTGCCTCCTAAAGGTCCAAAACAAAAGCAAAAAAAAAGAAGTAGCGCCAAGATCAAAGGTATGGGAGCACTTCACAAAGTTTGGTCCAGCACTAGATAAGTGTAGATGTAACTACTGCTCTAAAGAATATCAGTGTGGGTCAGCAAAGTGTGGAACTAGTACTCTGAAAACTCATAATGAAAAATGTGAAGAGTTCAAGAACCATCTTGTAAGGGAATCCCAAAAAAAATCTTACTCGTGTTAATATAAATGATAATGTTGGTGGTCAACTTGTAGCCATTGGATTTAGTCAAGAGGCACGTAGAATGGAATTAGTTAAGATGGTGATTTTTAGACGAATTGGCATTGCCTTTTGTAGAAGGGGTGGGGTTTAGACATTTCTGTAGTGTTGCTTGTCCTAAATTTGTTGACCCATAAAAAAGAACACTCGCTAGGGATATTATGGAACTCCATTTGAAAGAAAAATCTGCTCTAAGGAGTTTGTTCAACAAACAAACAATTTCTTTGACAACTGATATATGGACATCTAACACTACCACTGTTAGTTATATGATCATTACTGCACACTTTATTGATGTGAATTTCCAGTTGCATAGGAGAATTATTAGTTTCAAGCCAGTTTGTGATCATAAAGGAGAGACAATAGCTAAACAAATAGAGAGCTGCTTGATTGATTGGGGTATTAAGAAGGTGTTCACTGTTACAGTAGACAATGCTACTGTCAATGATAGTGCAATTAGGATCTTGAAAAGTAACCTAGGTTCTTGGAGAGATGATCCTTTACTTTTTGACGGTGAGTTCTTGCATGTGCGTTTTTGTGCACATATATTGAATTTGATTGCGAGAGATGGTTTGAACGATATAAGCGATAGTGTTGTTAGTGTCCGTAACGCAGTGAAATATGTCAGGTCATCTAATGCTAGATTTCAAACTTTTCAAAAACATTCTCACCTTGATAAGATAAGGTGACTAGAGGGAGTCTGATTTTGGACAACAACACTAGGTGGAATTATACTTACCTCATGTTGACTGCAGCACTTAAGATAAGTTGTATGATGGTTACTTTCTAGAAGACGAAAAGGGTCAGAAAAGAGTTGGACTGCCACACCTCAGTGATTGAGAGAACAATGCATTCCCCCCCCCACAGATAAGATGAATTAATTGTTGCATTAACAACGTCTTGTCTACTTCCTTGTGGGATCACTAGTAGAACTTGACGTAAGTCTCCTCCTAAAACAATTGTCTTACCACCAAATGGTAAGTTTAAGCTATTTGGGTTGTTGAACCTGATGATATCACACATACTTCTATCCAATGCCTCAAAACAAAATTTATGGAGCATTGGAGCTTCATCCCAAATTATTAATTTACACTTAGTAATTAATATTGCTAAATGACTCCCCTGCTTTATATTGCAAGTCGAATCTTCATTCAAACTGATTGGAATTGCAAAACGCGAGTGTGCGGTTCTCCCTCCAGGTAGTAGTAGAGAAGCAATGCCACTTGATGGCACATTTGATACAATGTCCCCTTTGGACCTCAATGCGACAGATATAGTTCTCCATACAAACGTTTTCCCAATTCCACCATATCCATAAACAAAATACATCCCTCCACATTCCGTTTCAACGGAATTGATGGAGTATATGGCCCGGGAACCCCCGGCCCACAGACTCCTACTACTCCAGCAAAGGCTCAACAGGCCCAGAAGGCCCAACAGGCCCAAATCACAACGCCCAGAGTGCCAAGCAGCCCTCACTACGCGCCAGGGGTGCCTTCGGCCCCCTGGCCGAAGGCTCTAAATTCTCACAGAACGAGTTTCTCAAGCAAACTAAGAAACTGGGAGAAAACGGCAAAAACAGCAGCCCTCGGCACCTGGAGCCCTCGGCACTCAGGGGTCCTCGGCACTAAGAGCCCTCGGCTACTGCTCTATAGCCGAAGGCACCTCTCCCGACATGATATCCGCCTCACATGCGTACAGATCACCGTACCCTGTACAGACGTCCCATCCAACAGCCGCATTAAATGCGGCCACATGCGTTTGCCAGCGCCAACCGGATGAGGTGACCTCTCGGCCAACGGATGCTTGACACGTGTCCCTGTCCGGCATTTATTGCTACTATAAATAGCCCCCCATTTCCCCATTTGTAACCACGACATTCATACTGAATACACTCTCTCTCTTACTTACTTGTGCTCTGACTTCTCTCTAAGTTATTCTCAGCAATAACCCTTCGGATATATACCCCCGGGTAGACTATCCATCATTTGGTGCTCTCGTTGAGAGCTCGAACAATCGAGTAAGAAACCCTCCCCCTTCGCCAAACACTAGCCCTCTACCAAAATGGTGAGAACAACACGTGCCAACTCCAAAAACGTAGAAGACAAGAACCTGGCCCTCAGCGACGTCAACGCCCCCGAAGCCTCTCACAGGGCTCCCGAGGGCGGTGTCATCGCTGGGCTGGAACAGGCGGCTGTCGACCTACGCCTTCAGATCCAACAGAATGCCCCCGATGCCCGCCTCGGCATCGAGGCCAAGAAGAAGAACCGGAGCGATGACCAAGTCAGCCCTCCGGTTCTCACCATCGACGTGCAATCGGCGCTCTCCGCCTTCATCCAAACGCTCACTCAGAACCCGGGTGCCTTCGGCACCCTGGCTTCGGCTCAACCCCAGGTTGGGGAGAACATCATACTTCCCCCTCTGCCACACCCCTTCGGCAACCCCCTCCCTCGGGTTAGGAATGACGAAGGGGTAGTGGCCCAAGATACGTCCTCCCAGGAAGTTCAGTCCCGGGACCGCCACCATGACGACAGAGAAAGGCCCCGCACTTCCGCCCTCAACCGGCTCGGAGGAGGGCCAGACCGCCGAGGGGTCCAAGACCGCCTCGGAGGGAAAGCACTCCAAAGGCCCCAGGAAAGCGGAGGGTCTGTCTCGAGGGCAGACGAGGAGCGTCCCCCTCGGGACAAAGGCAAGGCACCCCTTCATGTCAGTGATGCTCGCCACCAGATCAACCAGGCCCACTCGGCCCGGGTTCGTTCGCAGGGGGCGGAGACCCTCCCGAAGGATCCCCGGGACGAGATTATTGCGGCCCTCCAATGCCGGCTTGACGAAATGGAGTCCAACAAAGCTCACGCCACCACCTCCACCCCTCACTCAGACCTCAAATACGAGGCCATGATGGCCAAAATGGAGGAATTACAGAAGAAGGTGGCCGAGGGCTCCGGAGAACCCGTCATCCAGCTCCGGACTCGGACGCCATTTACCCCAAGGGTATTGGAGGCCCGGATCCCGGAAAAATACCGAGGGCAACACATACAGCCCTACAACGGGAAAACGGACCCCCAGGAACACTACAGCAAATACCAGAACAACATGATGATGGTAGGGGCGTCAGACGAATATTTGTGTCGTTAGTTCCTCTCCACCTTAGAGGGACTGACATACGAATGGTTCAACAGGCTGCCCGAGGGCTGCATTGATTCATGGCAAGAACTCGCCCAGCGATTCTTGACACAATTTGCCGGGAGGCGTCGCACAAGGAAGCACTTCTCCCACCTCCTAACAATACGCCAAAAAAGGGATGAGACCCTTCGGGACTTCCTGGAGCGCTGGAGGACGGAAGCCGACAAAGTTGACGGTGCTGATGACGGGACCCTCCTGGCCCTCCTACAAACCGTCCTCCGCACCGGCAACTTTTCAAGGAGCCTCATCATTGAACCCCCCCGCGACTACATAAGGGCTTTGCAGCGGGGGGACCGATATGCTGAGGCCGAGGAGGTGGAAAAATATCACCAACATCCGGATCAACAGCCCCCGAGGGCTGACAACAAAAACAACCGAGGGCCGGGGGCTCCTCTGAATCACCCCAAACCTTCAGGACCCTCTGATGACCGCCCTCGGCAAGGCCAAGCCAAGTCCGGGGGAGGTTATAAGAGCAACCCTAAGACTTGGGCACAACCCATTCTCCTGGACCGCCCCCGGACGCCATTGACGCACCCCGTCAGCATCATCCTTGATTTTGCCGAGGAGAGGGGCCTCGTTGAGCGCGATTCCCGCGCACCCCCGGAGGTGCATGCTATCAACCCTCAGTTCCCATACTGTCGCTTCCATCGGCACCAGGGGCACAGAACCGATGACTGTCATCAGCTAAAGACGGCCATCGAGAGGTTGATACAAGCGGGGCACCTGTCCCAATTCGTTCAGAGCCCTCGGCAGGAGGGACCTTCTCATCAGGGACCTCCCCGAGGGCACCACACGAAGGTAAACGCTTGGGTAAACCCGAATACCATCCCCCTCGGCAAGAAGAGGGAGATTGGAAACTTGGAAGAAGAGGAGGAGGAATACCCCCACTACCAGGAGAAAAAACGCCACATCCTCATGATCACCGGTGGCAATACAGGGGGCGATTCCACCAGCCAGCGAAAGAAGTGGGCTCAATCGCTTTACGTGGGAGAAGTCACTCATATGCCCCCGGTAAAGCGACTGAGGGAGGAACCCATCACCTTCACCAACGCAGATCTCCCTCCTACTTCTTCTCCTCACAGGGATGCCTTGGTGATTCGGATTGAAGTAAACGACACCATCATTCACCGAACTTACATTGACACGAGCAGCTCCGTCAATGTAATGTACCTCAGCACCTTCAGAGAGCTGCATCTGGAGAGGGGGTCCCTTCGGCCCATTAAGACCCCTCTGGCCGGCTTCACCGGCGACACTATTGATTCCGAGGGGGTAATAACCCTCCCGGTGATCTTCGGCGACGGGCTCCATAGAGCCCAGCTCGAAGTGGAGTTCGTCGTTGTCAACATCGACTGCGCCCACAACATTATCCTCGGCCGGCCAGCCCTCGAGGACCTCGAGGCCATCATCTCCATGAGGCACCTCTGCCTCAAGTTCCCCGCCAAGGGGGGCATTGGCTACTCCCGGGGGAATCAAAAGATCGCCTGCGCCTGCTATCTTCAGGTCACTAAGAAGGTAAGCAAGACGGAATTCCGTGTTGACACCATCACCAGAACCATCGACCAGGAAGAAAAGAGGCCGAGGGCTGAACCAGCCGA